CAGACAAAGCTGGGTATCTCAAGAAGTAATGATTTATCCTCATTTTTTCAGCTCAAAAATCGATTATTTTTTCTTAAATTGCTGTTTCTCTATCAAATTAACTTGTAGATGTAAACCCCAGAAAAATATTCAGAATTTAAAACATATTTAATAATAATATTTTATATTTTGTTCCTAGCTATTCGTTTAAATGTTAACGTTGACACTCTTTATTATAAAATATATGTCTAACAGTTCCTATAATACTCATGCGATCTACAGGGTTACCCACAAATGATGAGACTGTAAAGACGACAGGAAACTCTTAAAATATGAAGATATCAAGGTTAAATTAAGTATTTTGCCTTAGATAAAGAAATCTAATGGATTATTTAAAGAAAACAACTATTTTAATCAGCTGCAAGAAATCGTGAATATAAGGTAACAGACAGTATAAATTTCGTACAATCGTCTCTGAAGTCTTATCCTTTGTGGGTAACCCTGTACATACATTGAATAAAAAGTTCAACAGACATTACATAACTCGGTAACAAGAGAGTTTCAATAAAAAGATAAACCATTTTTAATAATTAATTTCTAATGATCATTTATTTAATGAAATGAAATGAAATTAAACTATTTTAAAGAACAAAAACATGGATATCTAATTGATAATTGATCAGACAAAGCTTTTCATGGTACCGTTCGAATTGACTGGGTTTGCTACTTTATTTATCAAGAGTCACTTTAATTAGGTCAATTAGGTCAGCCCACCCCCCTCCCCCATTCCCGAGAAGAAATTTTTTAATAATATAAAAAAGAATACGTATACATGCTTTGTACGTGTTCAAAAAAATCAAAGCTTTAAAATATAAAGGAAAGTTGCATTCGATGTTTAAAAATTAAAAAAAAAAGAAAATTCATTGAAAAAATACCTTTTTTTACTTTATTCTATTAAGTTTAAATATGGGGTAAAAGAATACATACCTCTGCTATTAAAGAGAACCATAATGATTCATTTATTAGAACTAGAAAGCCAGAAAGGAAAAGAAACTAAAAATATAATGTTCCAACTGCTTTCATTCACTCCCTTCTAAACTCCTGCTCAAATACACTCCTAGAGTTTAAATCACAGTTTTCACCATCCCACCACCAAGGGCAACAATCACAATGATCACGATGTAGCTGGAAACGTCCCCTTTGACTTGAATCACAATAATTGACAGGACTGGAAGGAGCCGGAGGAGGAGGGGCGTTCTAATGTATCCAGCTATACTAAGAGCCGGTCAATTCTATAGGCGGTTCTACACACAATTAAAACAGGAGCTGTGACGTAGAACAAGGTAAGACAGGCCTGTACGGTCAGGCAACTAGGCAGGAGTTGTACCTGACAGTACACCAGAGGCAGAGGACCTGCCGAAGTCAGGCCTGTACTTTATGGATCCATGGCGAACTTATAGCTAGGTAGTGCCTTTCAAAGTAAAGCTAATCTTGTGCCGGCATACAGATATTCTTTTAGGACACGAAACAAGTGGCGGCCCGGCACGGAGGATTCAGGACAATTCCTGGTCGTGTCGGGCCACCTTATTGTGACACGAGGGGCAGATAGGTACAGGTAGCTGTGTCAGCCCAGCTGATTAATACAGGTAAAAATCCCCCAAACACAATTTAAAGGCTGATGTACTAAAATATTAAAATCAAGATCAAATTTTTGTAGCAATCACAATGTATGTGAAAACGACTGCTTGACAAACTGATAAACATTTGATACATTTTTTCTTCATAATCTCTTTTTTGGATATTTAAAACGATACATTGTATGTCCCCTTTCCTCTTTCCTTAATTTTGTATTTACAGTGAGAACCAGAAAACTGTGGAAAGGAAGACGACATTATAGCAATACTCAGCAATACTTTTTTTTTAAAATGTCATTGAATTCCTTATCAAGCAAAATGTGTCAGTTTTTACTTCACAAGGGCTGTGTCTCATGTTCATTGGACGAGTTAAAATCATAACTTGTGTCTAAAAGTCGTCTTTCTATTCCATAGTTTTATGATTCTCACCGTGTTAGCAGTAAACAGTAAACAGTAAACAGTAAACAGTAAACAGTAAACAGTAAACAGTAAACAGTAAACAGTAAACAGTAAACAGTAAACAGGAAACATGAAACATGAAACATGAAACATGAAACAGGAAACAGGAAACAGGAAACAATAAACAGAAAACAAAACAAAAAAAGAAAGCAGTAAACAGTAAACAAAAAAAGCAGTAAACATAGAAAATCAATAAATAACCGTCGAAAAATAACTGATTGTAAGAAGCTATGCCTGCGAAGGCTGGTGTGAGTAAGTGGTTGAGAAATCTAGAGACTAGAGAGAAATATTGTTGAATATAAAGCCAGGTTCTCCATAATAACTCTATACTCATCGTCCTACCTAGATACTAGTAATATACAAGGTAAACCAAGAAATTATCTTTAAATTTTTTTTTATATTTCCCAAAAAAAGGTCAGAATTAAAAATGCTCGCCACTAAAAAGCCGGGAATTATCTATTTTTTTTATTATGGCCACTTTTTTAACAATTCCCAAAAGGGAATCATAATTAAAAACCAAGAAATTTTTTTTTTTGTTAAAAACAACAATTTTACCCATTTTTGTAACATGACCCAGAGAAAGATCAAAACCTTTCGTAGAACCCGTATTTTTCCAAATCCTGAAAAAATTAAGTTTTTGCCAGAAATTTAAATTTTCTTTATCTTTAATCTTTGCAATCTGATAGCTTAAACCTTTGATTTTTCAAACTTATTTAATCTTAGAGAATTCATAGTTTTAAAATAAAGGAATACGACTTTGGGTTGAAAAGATATAGGGATTAGAAAACCAAAAGTTGCGGCAAAAATTTAATTACTTTAACAATGAAAACAGATGAACCTGCAAAATCAAAAAATTCTTATTTTTCCATTGAATTAAAACCTTAATTTATAATATTCGTGTCTGAAATATCATATTTCGTTAAGAATTTGAACTTTGATTTGAATTTGATTTGTTTTTCTGGGTGTTTATTTGTTTGGGTGGGTGTTTGTTTGGGTGAGTGTTTGTTTGTTTGTTTGTTTGGGTGTTTGTATGTCCGATCAAAGCTCAGAAACCCCTTGACCGATTTGCCTGAACGTTTGCTATAGGGAACGTTCTCCGGCGTGTTTAAAAGATTCGAAATTGAGTGGTTTGACTGATATAGAAAAAACTTTAAATTCCAGACAAAGCTGGGTATCCAAGCTTGTGTTTCATGATAAGTATGTATCAAAAAAGATTATAAAGCTAAGCAGTTCAAAATAAAGTAAAGCTAATAGCTATGAAGAAAGTTATCGGATAGGATTATCAGTATACATAATAACAAAAAATCTGTATTTTAAAGTAAATCAATTAATAAATGTAAGATAGTTCTGTTAAGAATGAAATCCTACAATTTGGAATAATTGTGTTAAAACTTCTTTTTTTACCCCTGAAAATGTTTCCTTCCACAGTCTGGGGGGGGGGGCTCAATTTAGGTCATATGCTTAGAAAATCTTATTTATCCTATTTTTATTTTTCACAATCATCAACAGAATTTCTGGAGTTTTTACTATTTTATTTCCGGAGTTTTTACTATTTTATTTCCGGAGTTTTTACTATCTTATTTCCTGCCCTGCTTCCGAAAATCTTGATACTTTTTGATTTTTAGTAAAAATAAATATTGTTTTTGTCACTCATACTCTTAAATCTCCTGTAAGAGACAGAAGGAGTAGATACATTCGTCGTCAATTTACATTTGGTCAATTTACATTTGATCAACTTACATTTGGTCAACCTTACATTTGGTCAATTTTCATTTAGTCAATTTATATTTGGTCAACCTTACATTTGGTCAACTTACATTTGGTCAACTTACATTTGGTCAACTTACGTTTGGTCAATTTACATTTGGTCAATTTACATTTGATCAGCTTTCATTGGGTCAATATATGTTTCGCCAATATACATTTGGTCAATTTACATTTGGTCAATTTACATTTGGTCAACTTACATTTGTTCAATTTACATTTGGTCAACTTACATTTGGTCAACTTTCATTGGGTCAATTTTCATTTGGTCAACTTTCATTTGGTCAATTTATATTTGGTCAACCTTACATTTGGTCAACTTACATTTGGTCAACTTACACTTGGTCAATTTACATTTGGTCAACTTACATTTGGTCAACTTTCATTGGGTCAATTTTCATTTGGTCAACTTTCATTTGGTCAATTTATATTTGGTCAACCTTACATTTGGTCAACTTACATTTGGTCAACTTACACTTGGTCAACTTACATTTGGACAATTTACATTTGGTCAATTTACATTTGGTCAATTTACATTTGGTCAATTTACATTTGTTCAATTCATTCGATATGAGTCATTTTTAACAATTTTCTCATAAAATGCGCAACAGATAGAAGTACGATTAGAAGCGATCAAAAGCGCTTATTTTTCGCCATAATCCTATACCCCCTTTCATTTTTCGCGAACACACCTTTTAAGAAAAAAGACAGGTTGGCAAAAACTAAACTGCAGGAAGTGGTTGCAGCAGGTCAGGTCGCAGGAGTTTAAGACAGGAGGGCTTACAGAACTATACTCGAGCTATCTGTAAGCAAAGATTTCTTGTTTGGTCTCAGAGGAGGGCTGTTATCTGTCAGTTTTATTTGTACAATTATACCATATACGATATCTAAATATATGTATAAATGTAGACACCCTGTAAATCAAAATTGACCAACTATATTTGTGTTTGTATGAGTTGACCAAATATAGTAGGATAAAATATATCAGTTGACGTTTGGTAACAGCTGACTAAATGTTGTAATTGACCAAATGTCAGGTTGACGATATGTAAATTGACGAAATGTAAGTTGACGAAATGTAAATTGACAAAATGTAAGTTGACGAAATGTAAATTGACAAAATGTAATTTGACGAAATGTGAATTGACGAAATGCAAGTTGACGAAATGTAAATTGACCAAATGTGCCCACTCCCATACATATCTTATTAAAAGTCACGAAAAGAGAAAATAAAACCTTTTTATTAGGAATGATATTAACCTTTATTATCTGTATTATCTGTATCATCTTTATTATTATTTGTGTTATCTATATTATCTATATTATCTGTATTACTATTTGTGTTATCTGTATTATCTTTATCATCTGTATTATCTTTTTTATCTATATAATCTGTTTGAATTGTATTATCTGCATTATCTGTTTTGTCTTTATTATCTGTGCTATCTTTATTTTTTGTATTAAATGTGTTATCTATATTTTCTGTATTATCTGTATTATTTGTATTTTTTGTATTATCTGTTTTATCTTTATCATCTGTTTTATCTGTGTTATCTAAATTCTAAATATAAAGAATTTAAATGTAAAAACAGGAACGGCTACTCATGTAATTTGAAAATTTTGTAAACCACTCTGTAACATATTATCTACAAAAATTGGATTTTTTAGTGCTGGGGTTTCTCCTTCTCTTCCCTTTTTCCCTTTGCTATTTACCCAACCTTCTTTTTTTCCCTTTCTTAAAAATTACTTTGTGAATTGTGTACTGTATTCGTTATTTGTTAATTTAAAAAAATAAAATGTATCTATAAAACTTTGGAGGGGCAGCCAATCAAAACAACCAGAAATGGTTAGGCTGTAATTGTTCAGTAAAAAATTATAAAATGTAAAATGTATTTATTGTAATGTTAGCCTAAATATATATCTATCTATCTATCTATCTGTTTTTTTATCATCTGTGTTATCTATATTATCTGTATTATCTTTATTATCTGCGTTATCTATATTTTCTGTATTATCTGTGTTATCTATACTTTCCGTATTATCTGTATTTTCTGTATTATCTGTATTATCTGTATTATCTGTATTATCTATATTATCTGTATTATCTGTATTTTCTGTATTATCTGTAATATCTGTATTATCTGTATTATCTGTATAATCTGTATTATCTGTATTATCTGTATTATCTGTATTATCTGTATTATCTGTATTATATGTATTATCTGTATTATCTGTATTATCTATGATTACATTTTATTAATCAAATTACAAAACACAGTGAAGAATTTAATCAACCTTGATTAACAGAGAAACGTCCCAATATTTATTAATATTGGATTTTTATCTCTTAATTTAAGAATATTATTAGCTTTATTGACAATTAAAAAAAAGGAACGATTAACGTAAGCAACGAAAATTAAGAAAATAAATTGTTTAATGGTTTTCTATAACACTACAATTTGCCCATT